GACATCCCAGGCATGTAGACATGAGAGAAGCACCTCAGGGATTAATCTTCACCTTCTACCTTGAGACAGGGTCTCTCTTCTATTCTTCCTAGCTACATGTGCCAGGCCAGCCTCGGAACTCAAAGAGATCTGCCTGCCTCTGCCTCCAGAGTGCTGGGATTAAAGGCATGTGCTACCACTGGCCCAGCTATTTTATATGCTTTAATGCAAAGGCTTTTTCACTAAAGACATTTCCCTGTTACTAGACTTGCTGATATGAATATCTACTTTTGCTGCTGTGAGAAAAATGAGTTTTAACTAATTAAGTAACCCATGGAAAGTGCTTAGTACAGTGCTGTGTAGTGACTGCTTACAAATGCTAGGTATTATTTGTAAGTCCTCACTACTAGGCCAATGTAACTAACCCATGACTACTTTGTGTCCTCTAGAAATTGAGAGTCCCACATTGAAAAGTAACCAGTTTATTCAGTGATCATACAAAACATTTTAAATATCTATGTATCTATAGTAGTACTGGCTCTATGCATTCCAGACACCTTTCTTAAACTAGAATGTTTGGGACAGGCATAATAATGTTCACTAGTTCCAGGCCCATTGCTACCAACTACTAACAGAAATCAATTGTTCTACTAACAGTAGAACAATGACAGTTGTTACCCAGAGAGAAGGGCAGCAGAGTTCTTCCTTTCAAGAATAATATTCATAAAAACATGATTTGATGAAAAGTCACTGTACAGCACTAATTTATAAATGTTAGTTAAACTGTTTGGTTTCCGTGGCCATTTTCCCAGCTTCTTTGCTCTGTGCTGCTCCTGCAGAAAGCTAATTTCTCTTGCTGATAGAGGCTCCCCTTTCCTCACTGTTGGTTATATTGATTAAGGAGAGGCTACAGGACACTGGGAGGTGGAGAGTCAGCTTGTGTGTACCATGTCACAGGCTGGCAATGGCTGCTTTTCTCCATGTAAGGTCAAGTCCTTGCTACTTAAGTCCAGTGACTCCTTGGTCCTTTCCTTTCAGAATAGTGGGAGGAATGGCACCCTGTGATATGCTTCAGTTCAGCACTCTTCTCAGTTTCCCTGTCTAACTATCTCTTGCAAACATCCGCCCTTTAATGTCCCCATTGAGTGGTACACTGTTTTACAGTTAGTGTCCTTAGACAAGCAAGAGGCATGGGTAGGAGAATGGCCTAAGGCTGTCTAATCAGTCAAAACAGAATTTGATTTTGTTGTCAAGGCTTGAAAAGAGTTACAAAGGGCTGGATCTTGGTGGGATACTGGTGAGCTTTGGCATGGAGTGAAGTCTGGCAAAGAGGAAGGATTGGGAAACTATGGCATCTATTTGCTAATCCACATGTGATAATGGAAGAGAGAGTAAAGCTTACCTTACTCTCTTACTTTAATGGCTCTAGGAGACACACAAAATGAAAGGACAAAAGGAATGCCTTAACTGCTCCAGTAAAACAAAGGTGGAATCTGAGAGAGAGTGTATCTGCTTTAAAAAGCCACAGTCTACCTAAGCCTAGAGCAAATAAGGCTAAAGACCAACCAAGAAGGCTGATTTGAAGGGCTGTGGAACTGCGCTGCTGTATAAAATGAGCAATGTCCAAACTATCAGTTCTTGGTCATGGAGCAATGACAGGGAGGAGGCAATGCATCTATGGGCGAATTACAGATGTTAGTGACATTATCAGAAAATCAACAGAGTAGGACTTAGGGAAACTTGTTATATACCTAGTAAATTGTTTATTAGGGCAAACCAGTGCATAGGTGGGTCTGTGGATGAATGTAGACTTAATTCCATCATAACACCCAAATCCAGTGTCATTCACACTAAAGTCTTTGTCACAGCCACTACCCTCAAGTAGCCAACATGATTTCCTTGTAAAACATCTCTTATCACCAGACACAATTGGAAGCAGTATGCCTCCTCACTGTAGGGACCACATACTTTCACACTCTTACCTTTGCTCACAATAATAGAGTCTGGGGAAATCTTCATCATCACCTACATGGGACAAGCTGGGCTGCACATGACACTGCAGCATCTGGATTTGGTGACCAGGAAGCAGCAAGCATCCAAGATGTGTCTTAAGATAAATGCTAGAGGACAGTGGATAAGGTCCCCTACAGTCCATGGGCCTTCTGTTCTGGTGAAATATTACAAGCCCAGTGGTCTGGGTTTGCTGAAACAGATCTTCAATGCCTTGTGATAAATTTCTGTAACCTGCAATTTCACAACACTTGGTCTCCAGATTTTGGAAGCAGCAGAGGCCACATTGAAGTATGTTGCTTTGACATATTCCCTATGTAATCCAGGCTGCAAGTTTTGAGAGGAGTCTAGGGCAAAGGGGGTCTTACAATATACCCATGATGTAAGCTACCCTTCAGCCTTGGCTATTTAAGATCCAGCACACACAATTATTTCTAGAAAATTAGATGGCAAAGAGAGGTTCTGTATGACATCTTTGTCAGGTAGAGCTCAGAATGCCAAGCTCTAATGTATTTTTCATAAAGATCTTTAACCAAGAGCTATTCGCTATTAAAAAGCTGGTCTTTATTTGCTAGTAGACGGTAATTATGCTGCCCAAATCACATCCTGTGAACTAGGTATTATCTGAAAATAATGCAAGAGGGATGTAACACAATTTCACTGTTAAATGAACTTGGACCAAGCAGTTGGTGATCCCAAACATGCTTCAAGAGCAAGTAGTTCAGGTGTCCATGGTAACTGCTACTATACAATCTGCCTCTTTCAACCTACATCAATCACCTTGTGGCATGTTATCAATGAACAGCTAATAGAGAAGGAAATGTTGTGAGTTTAGTTTGCAAATGAATTGCATAACACTTGGTGCTAGCTATGACAACTGTGTTTTCAGGTCTACTTTAGAGAAGTTAGCCTTGACAGAGTGGAAAAAAGATTCCTGGATTTCACCAAGCCCCCTTGATTGTATACTTTGCATGGCAGAAAAGAGCCTGAGGAAATGACACATGGCATAGGTGTATGACCAAGAAAATGGATGATTGGTGATAGGGGTCTCGGGAGAGTTATACAGATGTACCTCTCTGATATTGATACAAAATATGATGATTTAGTATCCTATGTTAATTCCTTCTTAAAAGAATCCACTATGGAGAAGGCTTTTTGTAATTTGGACAAAGTAAAACATCTATGGACATCAGTCAAAGTGCTTGCCTTATCACCCTAGTGTCTAAATGGACCCCTGTTCAAATGATAATAGAAGCAAAGATAGACACTGTGAATTCACTTACATGTGCTCCCTACCCTCGTAAATGATTTAGCTTCTATCGTTGCTGGGCTCAGAATTTTTCAGTTCTAAGTCCCTGTTATTTCCCCAAGTGATAAGCCAGCAAGTGGAGTCAGGTAGGTTATAGTGGACTCCTTACAATATGGAAAATGGAGAAACTTATCCTCATAGGGACCGAAAGATGTTTAAGGAGGATTTGCCATTCCTTCCTAGGCTGGTTCCTGAGTGAATTTAACAGAACACCTTACCAACTACCATAGCACCCCTTGTCACACTGCCTTCAACAGAAACTTATTTAATGGAAAGAAATACAACAAACTCAAACCTATAGACTTCATCCGCAATCCTTACATTCCATCATCCATTATCAGGTGGCTAAGTGGAGTGGTGAAGTGGCTGGCCTACCACTGGAAGGCTTCCTGTATGGCTGCCATCAAGGCATGGGTTAGTATGTTCTATGGATACAGCACAAGGCCTAAAGATATCTTTTCCACAGAAAGAACACATGAGTCCAAGAACAAAGAGGTTAAGATGTTTACAATTATTGTATGAAGGTGACAGAAAAGTCATATCCATAAATGCTTATGAGGTACATGGTCCTCAGTTCAGTAACACTTCAAATGGTTAGAATATATGTAGGAAGCTGATAGAAACACCTGCATCTCTTAAATATACATTTCAACTTACGATACTTTTCATTAGAAAATAACACCAGTGTAACTGACAACTAGAATAGCACAACTTTCAAAAAATACATGACACATAAATAAGTGAATAATGTTTGAATTTGGAAAGTAAAATATATTCTTAGAATATTTGGTTTTACTATGCATGTTAATTTAACTTTTATAACTGTCCCAAATTTAATAGTTAAATGCTTAAAATTGCTTTCTATAATTCATGTTATCTTAAAAATGAAGTTCTGCCTTAAAGATTGCAAGAAAATGTAAAGAAGGCTAATAATACTTAACTATGTCCTCATATTCCACAACACTCTGAATTGCAATCTGTCAATGTACAGGAGAATATCACTTTCACAGATCTTCGCATTAAAATTAATATTTAACATGTCATTATAGACAAAGTATATACAACGGTTTTGAAAGTATTTTGTTATAATATTCTATCTTTAACTGTTCAGCAATGGCAGTTCATGATTTCTGATCAGTCTTCCTCATTTACGTAATTTTCTTAGCACATCAAACACTCTAGACCATTAAATCATTTATGAAGCAGAAAAAGTGTTCACATCTTTCCCAATAAGTATGGTTTGAAAGCTAGCAAAATAAGGCGAGTTAAATGAAATATAAATTCCCCCAACAGCCAATTTGCTAATGAGTACAGTATTTTCAAGTTTAAAAAGAACAATATTTGATTTCTCACCAAGATCTAAGATGGCTTACTATTGGGCTGTTAAGGAACTCTACAGCTTTCATGTTTTCTGGAAACTTCAAAAGTAAATGTGGCATTTCACTAGGCTCCAGTAACCCTGGATTAAACATAATTACTGCTCTGATAATTATAAAACTTAAAAATTAAAGAAAATTTATGTTCTAGCTGCAGGACACGCTTTAGTGGCAGTGTCCTTTTCCATGTCTGTTATCTTTGAAGACTCATGTGCATCCTACAAATGCCGCCGATAACATGCAAGATTCCCTAGGCCAAAGCTCCATGCTACTGAATGTAATGCTTTAACCCTTTTTGACTTTAGCTTTGTCTTGGTGACACTTACCAGAGTGGGTCCTGAGGTGTCCTGTGAGCGCGTCCCTTCTTCTACAAGCATAGCTACAGAAAGGACATTTGAACGGCTTTTCTCCAGAGTGTAACTTTATGTGTCTCAGAAGGTTGCCCTTCTGGGTGAAAGAAGCTCCGCACTGGTTACAGTGGAAGGGGCGCTCACCTGGAGACAGAGTGGGAAAGACCAGGCAGGTTATTGCGCGAGAATGATGTGCCATCCAGTTAAAAACAGACAATTCCCTAGGCTCACAATGATCATCTTCCGCATACATTAAACCTTCACTTTCCTCTAGAAGAACTCTCTGCTAGTAATAACTCCTCAAACTTCAGGTCAAGTAGTCAATTTCCTCATTTAGTACAAACTTGACAAGATACCTGTCACTGGCTGAGAGCAGCAATAATAGTATGTACCAGTGGCTGAACGGTTTGCTGTCACCACTTGGCCGAACACTGCCCTCCATAGAGTACATTAATCTTTACATCCTGCTAATACTTAGGAAGCATCCATTTACATTAAGGAATAAAGAACCAGAATTCAACAATGGCAAAGTATCTGATAATACTAAGGTCTGAACCAAAATAGGCATAAACAACAAATAAACCTTCAAAGCCCACAAAGGAAATCTCTGGACAGAGACAAAGGACTCCTGGTCTCTTGGTCATTAGGGAAAAAAAAAAATCTGGCAAAAATCCCCAGTATACCTGAGAGAATCCAAAGAATATTATATTTCTGAAAAACACTTGTTTAACAGGAATGTTTTCTCATGGTTTTCTATCAGTGAAACTGTTAAAAAAATTATGTAAGCCTGCATTATCAGGTTTGTCTATTACCCTCAAATGGTTGGCAGTCACCAGTGTCATCAAAGGTTAAAAAAAAAAAAATCCATATAGGCAAGAAGTTGTAACACTGGCAAGATCAAATGGATAACATTATCAAACCAGGAGGAAAATACTCTTCATTTGCCTGTCTCTAAGCACAGATGAAATAAATGACAAACTGACATAAAAACACATGGTAAAAATACATCACCCTAAAGCTCAAAGAGAGAAACCAAAATTAACCACTTCCTTAAAGCTGAAAGGAAACTTTTCTGTATTTTTATAAGATAGGTATAATATCCACGGTTTTCATTATTTGTACACTGAATTACTATGCTCATGTGTCTTTAGCTAGAATATTTGTATTAACAGTGAAGTGAACCTCTGAATATATTTGGCCCATTGTATAATGCAAACCCATGGTTTCTCTATTTAAAAAAGCTAGGAGGCAAAAACAAAACAAAACAAAACAAAACAAAACAAAACAAAAATCAGATAAGCTTTGGTCATTGTCTGGCAGGAACTAATGTATATCCCGTCATACAGTTTTGCTACAAAACGGAAAGAATTTAAAACCAGGTAAGATCAAGCACAGACTAGATTCTACAGCCTGTATTCCTTTGGAGAGTTAATGATGTACATATCAAAAGGCTTGTTTTGGTGTTTTTCTTAAAACATGGAGCTTTTGAGGCTAAGTTACAAAAGGTCCTCAAAATAGATACCGTGCTAAAAACTCAGAATATTAAGGTTAGCTTAGACTGAATTATATTTAACTAGTTTGATTTGTTGAAATCTAAAATGCCTCAAAGAAACCTTATGACTTAGTTTTAAAATCTAATTCTGGCTGTGGATGGTGGTATACTCTTTAAAGTCCAGCACTTAGGAGGCAGAACCGGGGTATCTCCTAGAGTTAAAGGCCAGTCAGGTCTACATTGTGAGACCCTGTCTCCAAAATCTAATTCTGTATTCTGTATTGTTTGTTGAGATGGCTCTTGCAGTGTAGACCAAGTTGAACACATGCTTTTCTTACCTTACAGGGTCCAAGGCTTAATTTTGAGTAAGTGCTGCAATGCAGGGCTTTTAAACCTAAGTTTTTAAGCTCTTTTAAAATTTTATGCACATACACAACGTAGCTTTGAGTTTTTGAATTTTTTTTCTCCAAGGAAATAACAGAGTGCAACTTTAAAATCCTAATTATCTACTCTCCACCCTGACATGGAATTTCAATAAAAGGAAAGACAGGGCTACTTCTACAAAGTAGTTTTGTGACTAAAGAAAACAGCAAATATGAATTGTACTTTTTATTCAACTGTTTGATTTTACCTTTGGACTCTTTCTGCGTAAGCTTTTCTTAGGAAAGGGACAAATTGGGATACAATAACTTTAAAAAGAAGTTAAATTAGGAGGTCGGTTAAAAGTTTTGAAATCATGTTTGCTTTTGCAGCAAGCTGATTTATACTGTCTTTAAATCATTTATAATCTTTGAATCAATGGTTTTAATCCCTACATTAAAGTAGCTAATTTGGTATCCAATAATAATAATAATAATAATAATAATAATAGCCTGGAAAGGAAAGAATACTAAAGAGGAAACATTTTTAAAAATAATTTTTAAAATGAATTTTACTGCAATCTAATCAAGTTTGTGAGGTTAATGATGGAGCAACTTAGTGTTAACATCTACAAAATACTCCAGGTGTCTTTGACGCTTTTTACTGAGAACACCTCAGAGAAGGGAAGGCAATGGGACTCCAGGTGCATCTCACTATATGGCTCTGTTGCTGGGTGTGTAAGGAGGACTCTTGTCCACAGCCATGAGAAGTAAAGAACAAGGCCAAGTGTGCTCTAAACTGTAGCTCCTTTCTGATAACAGAAGAGGCTTTAGCACAACTTCTCCAATTTCACCCAGATAAACCTGAGAAATACTGTTGGGGAGTACTATTACTTCTCCATCGATGCTCTTTACTCTTCAGTTGTCAGTTCCAGGCTTTTCTCATTTTAGTATGCAATCTGTTTAACTATGCTTAGTGCCTTGATTATAAAGAACTTGCTAGCACTCTGAGGACACAGTTGTTTTACTGCATTCAACACTGAAGTTACAATTAGAATGATACTCTCAATCACACATCTATTAGAGAAGAGAAGAAACCAGGGTAACTGTTCTTTGTGTATATAATTAATTTTAGGAGTACTTCAATATACATATTATGCATATGTATGTAAATATTCATAATTAATAAGAAATAATCAACTGAATTTTAAAAATTCTGTAATATATTAAGAATCCGATTGATATTCAGTGTTGTAGAATATTTCCCAGCCTAGACATTATACAGGCAGAATTGTCTTGTCTTGAATTTAGGTTGAAAAATTACCTACTTTTCTCTATATAAATGTAAAACAATGATATATTGTCAAGAGGACTTTAACCAACGCATAATCATTTTAATTTGTTCTTTAAACCAAATGGAGAATCAGTTGGCTTTTTATGAGTTCATTTTTTATTTTATATAAAGTACTATGTTCTTTGTACACAGTGGAAACAAAAGTTTTAAAATCCCCACCGATGGCTTGATTACTGTACTAATATTGTAGAGCAATCCAATTCAAAATCAAAGTAAGTTACTGTACTTGTGACAACTGATCATCCCAATAGTGGGAACGGAAGACTGGACAAACAATAAAGCAAATGAACTTCGATGTGGTCATGGGATTCCTCATGTCCATTCCAAAGCTTGTTATGGGTTTTTTGTTTCATGGCTTTTGGATGCAAGGCCTTAGCAAGCTCCGCTGGCCTTGAACTTGTTCTGTACAGACTGGCCTCAAAATGCTGCTCTTTCCTGCTTCCACTTCCTGGGATTACAGGTGTGCTCCATCATGCTAAGCCAGTATTTTCTTTAAATGACAGCCCACTAATTTACTGGTTGCCTAAATTAGTTTATGCATCATTTTTATTGTGGAAAAATGACATTTGAATAATTTACATAATTTCATAAACACATCCAAAATGTGTTAAGTATTCAAATAACATGCAAATTTACAGAGACCAGTTTGCTTTTGTACTCAAAGACAAGATGGTGCACCTGTGTTGGGTTGGAAAACCAACAGCAAACAATAGAGAGCTTTGGAACATGAGAATGGCTAGAAAATGCTGTAGTTTACAAAGATAAGAGAGCTATATCCCAAAGAGGAACAATCATAAGGATTGTCTACATTTATAATTTTATCACACATTCATGTTCACATGGGAATTGAATTACTACCCTTTTTATTTGTTTTGTTTGTTTGTTTGTTTTTCTGTGCCCTATGTTCCCATTGAAGAGTGCCAGAAGTATCTGATGAAAATATTACCTGACTATTTACTAAAGTAGCAATGCCAAAGAAGTAATAGAAAGCGATTAAAAGACACTGGAATTGGCACTTTAGTAGAGTACAAAAGAGAAAGAAGAAAGGAGCATTAGATCTGATACCCATGCAACTGGAATAAATTGAGTGGTTTCATACTTTCTTATTCACTGTCAATTGTATAGTAGATAATTTCTGAGCTTCCCAAGGGCCTCACAAAGGATTTAAGGTAGTGGCTTTTGTTTAGCTACAAATATTTTTTCAAGCGTGGGAAACTCTATAATAAAGACAATAGTTCCTAATACTACAGAGAAAATACTTGTTTAAAAACTAGATTCTGACTGCACATTTCTAGTTTAAAGAAACACAAAGAAGCCTATCATCAAACACTATTACAGTAGAATTGAGAATATGACAACTGGGATCAACTAAGTCATCAGAAATATATATAGTTAAGGCCCATTTTAAGATGCCATATCTAATAGAGGGCCACAGTATCCTAAGTTTCTCTATGGACATCTATTGAAATGAACAAAAGTCTCCAAGCTCTGAAGAAGGAATTCCTTTTTTCAAAATAGGTCAGAAAGGCAAAGGAGTTTGTGCTATTGAGTGAACTTCAGATGGTAGCTTATTTTGTTCTCCTTGCCCATATTAGTGAATCTCATATTCTAGGACCTGTGAAAAATCTGTATAATATTTTATAAACAAGTCCTTATACCAATTACATCATTTTCAGTTTTTAAATATTTCCATTCCACTTTTATGACAAATATGCAGTGGAATGTGGAGTAGGCATTGAATTATTTTATTTTAAAAAAATTAGCAAATTTCACAACAGATACAATAAAATAAAAACTAAAATTGTCTTTCAAGAAACAGTTTTCATGTTCTTTGAGATTTATTAAGCATTTATTAAAAATCTTCTTAAACTAGCATTTAGAATAAACTTTAGTCTTAAAATTATCAGTAAACAAAATTCAACAGCAAAGTAATTGGATTGTTTTAATATTTCAAAGGAAAGTTACTCATTTAATGGGTGTGATGCTCTTCAGGCCACTCACTCTAACATAAATGTAACTTTGTAAACTCCTATTCCAAGACAGTATTATTTCATGGGTATGGAATAAAAGTAGATTAATTATATAGTCCCATTTTTTTCTTATGCAATAGAAACCAAAGCTTGGTATATCTTAACTTTCCCCAAGCCATTTAAAATATCAATGGAAAAATTCACTAGTGATATATGCGTTTTTAAACATGACATTCTTTTAAAAGGATATTCATAACAAAGCAAAAACACTAATTGTTATAGTTGTAACGATGCACACATTGGAAAGTGCATGACATGATTACATTAATCTAAATGTGAAAATTCTATTGTAATTTTAAAAGTATCAGCTTTAGTTTACAGTGACACTTTATAGTAAGTTGTTGGTATAGTAATAGTCCAAGGGTGTGTGTTCCAACTAAGTCTAGAAATCAGAGTACCACAGTTCCAGCCTCACTGGTGACATTTTGTAGGTAAGGGACACAAGTCAGACAACCTGATTTTCTTTAAGTGTGCATCATGAGAGGTCTGAACTAAAAATACTTTAATGTATAATTACAGCACATGTTTTAGGATAAAATTTTTACGTTTATTTAGAAGTAAGATTTTTTTTTTTGGTTTTTTGAGACAGGGTTTCCCTGTGTAGCTTTGGAGCCTATCCTGGCACTCGCTCTGGAGACCAGGCTGGCCTAGAACTCACAGAGATCCATCTGCCTCTGCCTCCCAAGTGCTGGGATTAAAGGCGTGCACCACATGTGATTTCTCACCCTTTCAAAAGACTATCATATTTTAAAACTGAAAATATTAATTATTAATATTTTGCTAGAGAATTCTATCATGTTTTAGTAAAGGATATAGTCCTTCAATATTTTCTTTCTTTTATAGAAAGGGTCTCACTAGCCTGGAACTTACTATGTAGATCAAGTTGGTCTTGAATTCACAGAGAACCTCCTGCCTCTGCCTCCCAAGTGCTGGGGCTTTAGCTTGTTGTTGCTTGCTTGGTTTGGGACAGTCTCACGTAGCACAGGGTGGCCTCAAACTTATATAACTTATATAAAGTTAGGATGACCTTGAACTTCTGATCAATCTGTCTCCAATTGCCAAAAACTGGGATTACTGGTATATGCCACCATGCCCAGCTCAACTTAAAATATCATAAAAGGTTGACTATTATTCCTTAAAACACACACACACACACACACACACACACACACACACCTTTATTGTGTTGAGTTTACCCACTCTTGCCTGCCTGCTTGCCTTCCTTCCTTCCTTCCTTCCTGTTCTCTTTTCTTTCTTCCTCCTCTCAATCAAAAGCTTAGAACAGATTTCTATAATATTCTCCTCTCCTCATCTGGCCTGTTTTTATGAAGTACTTGTATTTCTCAATGCATTAAAAGCATATATTAAGTTATCCACAGGCATTTCCTCCCCTAATTCCACAATTACACATTCCTACCAACATACCTGCCATCCTTTGCCATGGCTAACCCAACCATCTTTATCCAGAGTTAAAACTAAAACTTATAAGAAGATGGTAACATCCTTGAACTAGAGAAAGTATCCTCCTGCTACAGAGACCTTTGGTAGATAAAGACTGACCAGAAATAATATTTCAAGGACTTAACCAAAAAGAAAATGGTTCATTCCTATATACATGTGTGAGTGCTATCTTGTAGTATAAGGTCCTAGGAGGCAAACTATATTACCTGCCCATAGGTATGGTAAAATACGTATACAAATATAAAAAGATTAAATTACTCAATGAAATTCTCCTATACCTTTTGAACCCTTATCATATTATTGCTATATTAAGAACTGTGGAAACTGAATCCCAAACTTCTTTTCTGACATGCTATTCAGATTTGAAGGCTGAAAGTCAAGACCCAGGCTACTTTCTGCTTCCCAGCAATCCAATACTAGCAGAATTCTGAAAAGATAACTTCACATTGCCACCCCTGAATAAAAAGGAAAGAGAGTAGATGTCAGGTAATATCAACATCAGATGCCACGGGCAGTCATCAGGTTATTCGTTCAGCTGCTTACCAGTGTGACTCCTTTTATGTACCATAAGCACATTGGGCCCAATGCAAACCATGCCACAGACGTCACATTTCAGTTTACCATTCGGAAGCCGGATTCCTCCCTCGCCTTGAAGATCCTGGACTTTCCTGTTGTCAGCCACCTCGCTGCTCTCAATTAGGGGTTCTTCTAGGCTGCTCCCCTCATCATGGCCCCTGATCTCATCTTCGCGGCTCAGGGGTTTCCTGTCACACTCTTCATCACTCTGCATTTCTAGCTTTACAGAATTTGCTGTAAATGAAAAGGAATTGAAGACACCTGTTATGTGCTATAACCTCCATTTCTTTCCTGCCCATTGTCACTCTATGGGAAGATATACTAAGTCACCATACTGTGTTCAATGCTCTTGTAAGGGGTGAGCTTTCGGGGAGATAGAAGACAGCTCAGGGGCACTCTAGGTGAACAAAGGGCCCATCATGCCTGCACATACTCATTTATTCCACTCAGCTCTGTTGCTTTTATGCAAGCCATTATCTAGTTCTTGTATTTTTTTTTTTTACAGTTTGTCACTAAAGTTAGGAAGAATGAAAAGCATGTGTGGAAGACATTAAATATTGCTTAACCCACTAAGCCACGCCTCATCTTAACAATCATGTTTATGTCACATTCCCTGCTTCACATCAGAGTACTTGTGTCAACCTGCTCCTGCACAGAGCAAGAGAAACAACTCAAGATCTTAATCCCACAAATGTCTGTCACAGAGGGAAGCACACTGTTGGGGCAAATGTCCCCAAGTCAGACTAAACACAAACATTCAGTTGAGACCTGTATCAACGGGAGGTAGAGTGCACAAACCTTGCCATCTTAAATTACCCTGCTTTTGTTTCCTACATGCAACAGAGATAGTTCTCAATGGAACATACTAGGCTGTAAACCAAAGTGCTCTAACACTGATCTCTACAAACCAACAAGCAGCTAGTGACAGGAACGGCATAGCATGCGTGTACACACTTGCGACAGTTAAGAAACGTAATGCCTTCTGTTTGCTGTTTTTGGATCATCCTACCAAAAAGGTGGAATTCTGTTAGCACAGCCCTAGATCTAAATGGCTCAGTCCTTTGACAAAGTAGAGGCACGCTTTAAGTTAGCATCAGGTTTTTGTCCCTTGATCCTGAAGAATTCATACTGAAGCTATTCAACATAACAAATTAGTTGGTTACTACCTGTACAGAGGAAATTAGTTTACAAAGGCAAGTATGCTCTTTTTACTAAAGTTGTTTCCTGAAGATGTCATGTATCCCTGATTCATCACTAGTGCTTATCAGGACAGGGTGCCAGCATATGGCTTTCCTTGTCCCTCTCTGCGGAGCTCTCTAATCAGAGGCAGTGAGCTACGTAGTGTCAGAGGCATAATCCTAAACTAATTACCTAACCTATGAATCTTATATCATTTGAAAAGTGGCAATGAATTCAAATCGCTGAATAAGGTTTGGGTAGAACCTTTTGGTGAGAGTGGAGATAATACATTCTTCAATTGTTAAACATCTTAAAGAACTTAGCATTTCTCCCTGTCCTCAGTAAAATGGAGATGATAATGTCCCCACTTTGCAGGGTTAATCTGAGCATTAAATGGGTAAACTCAGTGAATGTACTTCTCTCTTTTTTAAGATCTTGGTGACAATTAATTAACTTACACAATATAAACTGCTTTATAATCCACAAAGGGATAGCTATGCTTACTGAATCTAGTGATTTAGAAACTGATATGATCCTACTGGTTTTTGAGAGGAGAAGGGACAATATTCTACTCAACACTATATCTCCCTATCCCCAGGATGCTCACAGATCTTGTGATAGACAGGATATGTTCAGGCAGTATTAATACACTAGTTTAACTGAAATCATTATGTATTTCCTTCCTCCAACTCTGTTTTATATGTTATACATTCCATGCTATTGTAAGGAAAGACACAACAATATAAAGGATTGAATCTAAAAATTAAGTCAATTTTAGCAAATGCTCAGAATCCCTCAGTCTCTGTCTCTAAAGAAATCATGATCATAATGCTCCCATTTAGAAGTCTATCTGAATCCATTTAAAATGCAAAATGAATTATATATCCACACTAGCAGCAGAGATTTATCATCATCCGTTCTTTGTTGCTATTACATATATAGATATTCCCACAGAGCGATCAGTGTGAAGAGTCTTGTATTTTGCATGCATTTAAAATTATGAGTTAAACTTGCTGCTATAAATTTAAACTGTCTTTCTGAAACTGTTTATCAACATTATTTGCCCATTTTTCTATCAGGTTGTCAAACTTTTCTCACTACGTTTAAATGATTTTTATTCTGAAAATCAAAAATCAAAAATTTCTAATATTTGAATGTGATTTCTGATGTGACATCACAAGCAGAATACTCCCCAACCAACAACACAAGACAGTCTGCAGCCAACAGGGGAGTGTGTTAGAAATACTATATAGAACTGCTTCTGTTAAGATTTCAGATCTCTTCCCAAGATTCCTCATTATGTATATATAAATATTCCAAATCTGACAACAATATCATCTATTAGGAACACTTATCCCCAGCATTTCCTCAAGGCCTATTCCCCATTACCCAGGAACTTAGTCCTACAATGCTGATGTATTTTGCAAATATTGGGGCTTTCCATTTTATTCATGAACCAGCTCCTGTTTGATAAGCCATGTTTAACCAGCATAAAGCTTGCCAGAGTTCCTGTTCAGAACTTAAGAATGTGCAGACTCTCAGCATAAAAGTACAGACCTCTCAAATATTAAAATAGGAGAGAATTGTAAAAGAAAAAACTGTGGCTTGATTTTATACATCAGATTATCTATTTTCCTTAGAGAGAGGACATTAAAATGAGGACATGGGTAAATGTCATTAAAACAAAACACTGTCAGATTAAAATATGTTCCTCAGGAACTGTTCTCCCTAGAAGATTATATTGAATACAAACCCTGGAAAAACATTTATTTTTGCTGTAACTGAAACAGAAAAAATGATAAAGCTATAGTGTGCGATCTTTATATCAATGCTATAAAAAAATCATGTGTAACTCTGTGTCCCAATTGCTGTCCTTATATAGTAAACTAGTAAAATGTAACCTGTTTCAATACATATCATATACTAAACTACACCCCAAATGATAGCCCACATACAAAAATAAGTCTCATAATAATTTATTTCTGATATCTGTGTATACAGTTACATTGAAATTCTATGTTAAAGAAGCAGAAAATTAAGTAAAATGGCCTTTAAATCCTAGCCACTAAACAGAAACCTTTTCTAGCTCCAAAAAACTATGGTTTGATTTATTTTCAATATAAGATGTTTCTAATTATGACTGAGTGCCTATAATATTTTAAGTATTTAATGATAAAATTCAAGTGTTAGGAAAACATGAGTCCCAATTTCCACATCAAGAAAGAGCTGACTCTCCCTGTTTAAAGCATAATGAGCCTAATACAACTATCAATCACTAAATAAAATATTAATAGTACGTTAGTTTCCCAGTTTTTAGAATTGGAGTGTTAACCTTCACTACATGGACTTATTTTTACAATGTGCTCTACAAATATGCTCTCATAAACAGTCTAATTTCATTCTATGTAAGTCTGAAGCTAATTTGATTTTCTGTAAGTCTGATGTGTTCTTCCATATTGTGTAAGTCAAAGCTATAAAGGAGCTCTTTTGGAAAAATCTTCTATTATAAGATTCTTCAGTAAGCACACTAGGCTACCTACATTCAGAAACTTCACCATACTGGGCTACCTACACTCAGAAGCTCCCACATCATCATTGTGTCTAGATATATAACAAGGAGTAGAGGGCGACACTATACTTGCTTTCATTCATTAGTGAGACATTAATGAGAACACTGAATGAAAGCATATATACAGGTAAACAGATACAGATTATTATAAAACACACACATACATACACACACATAATAGCATCTGAAAACAAATTGCAAAATAACATTAGTAACAGCTTCACAGCTGTTAAGAAATTAATTTAATTTGATGTATGTAACAATGCAATTTTGCTTTCCATCACAGTCATGCTAAAATAAAAGCAGATCAGTTGATGAGAATGAACTAGAAAGTAAAATGTGAGGCAGTGTTGTATCCACACATGAATGTAACACTCACATGAACCATGTCTCTCACATAGCAAGAAACAAACACAGACTTTTCTTTAGAAGTTGGGGTTTTGTTTGATTTTTGAGAAAGAACTTAAGTTGGGTGAATGGGAAAGGAGAGAGGAAGGAATTGGGGGAGTGGGAGAACATGATAAAATATATTTAAATATTTTAAATATGAAAATTGTTTTAGGTAACAAAATATAATAATAATAATAATAATAATAATAATGATAATAATAATGATAAAATAACTTATAGAACCAAGGCCAGTAGTATAACTCAAGCCAAGTGCCTGCTGAACATACACAGAGACCTAATACAACCTGTTCACAAAGAGAAGAACATACTAAAATACCTGCTGCTGATTATATTTGTTTAACATTTATTGGAGGTTGGTGATTAAAAATAAAACAAAACACATTTATTTAAGACAAAATGTGTATAAACAAGAAAGAATGCACATAAAAAGAGGTTAAGAAGCTTGTGCCTAAACAGTAGATACTTCACTAATAACATCTACTTACACAATAAATTTACAGAATGAAATAGTACAAGGCTTAAGGAGAGTTTCCTTTGGACATTTTGGATAAATTGAACATTTTATTATATATCCATAATGCAGATTTCACCTAAGTACCCTTCTTTGTAAGACAGGAGAGTTTGCCATCTCTGGTGACTGATTCCTTCAAGAGATATGAAATAATTAAAAAGTTTTAACAAGTAAGTTCTTGTATGCATGGTGGAATATGTAGAGCTAATTTTGAGAGGATAAATTTTACTTTCCATAAAATAGAATTTGGTCTTCAAAAATAATCTCATTACATTTAGTTGAAAAGCTGTGAAAGTACCATAGCAACCAGAACTGGAAGTGTAATTATCAAAATATTTTGATTATATTAATTTTCTACAAATTAAAACTTTATTACTAGTATGACCTGATTTTACTAACCCACAAGCAGATTACTTAGGCTTCCTGGATGGGAAAAATATGGGGGGGGTTGTGATTTGTTTTCTACATTTGAAAGGGTGTAACGTATAGAACAAATTTTCCAGATTATTTTCTGTCAAACTGATGACTTCAGTTTCTAAAAATATTTTTAAATTTTCAGTTTTG